CAACCCCTCGGTCCCATATGTTTGGCCACTTGGTGGCATGATGCATGCTAGGAAAGCATTGCTATGTGTGTTGGTTGATTTAATAAAAACTACCTTCCTAAAGGCCTATGGTTTTGGCAAAGAGACTATGAAAATCAAGAGGAGGAGTAGAGAGAGAGAGAGAGAGAGAGAGAGAGAGAGAGAGAGAGAGAGGGAGAGAGAGAGGGAGAGAGAGAGAGAGAGAGAGAGAGAAAGAGAGAGAGAGAGAGAGAGAGGGAGAGAGAGAGAGAGATAAGAGAGAATGAGAGAAAGCACAATGGACAACGGTGTCCATGGCCCTAGGCATCAGCCCCTACGCACTAAGGGCAGGCACAACCATGTCCTACCAAGTGGACGACGGGGCAAGTGAAAAAAAAAAAAAGGGAAACGAGGAGAAGAAGAGACATGCGTTGACATGCGTTAACATTCCCGACACATTCGTTGACATTTCATTCAATTGTTAATTCTCTTCACACCTTCGATCAATGGTTGCCCGTACAAGTACATGCACACGCATGATTTAACGTGGAATACTCAAAGCTTATACCACTTGGCCTCAAATGTACAGGAGCACGACGGTGCGAGGCGGCATGCCACGACGATCCGTACGAATTTGCCGTTACAGACAGAACTATTACACACATGCGCAGTCGTCTTCGCGCGACATTTGCGTGGTGGAGCTCATGGTGCCCCAGCAGCCTTGTCCTCTCCGTCATCGCCAAGGGTTACTGGTTGCCATGGAGCCACGGCCCACCGCAACATTTCCACGATCGCAATCATGTCGGGGCAAACATGCATGCCACGTTCACACGTACCGCCATCCAAGAACTCATAGAGACGGGAGCGGCAATTCCGATGGCCGCAACGGAGCTTACATGCATAAGTCCACTCAACGTGGTCGAGAAAAAAGACAAATGCAGGCTCATTCTTGATCTGAGGAAAGTCAACGCCAACTTGATCATCCCCAAGTTCAAGTACGAAGGGCTCAGCCGCGTCGCCGACCTTGCGCGCGTTGGGGACTGGATGTTCTCCATTGACCTCAAATCTGGTTACCACCACATCGACATCCACCCATCGTGCTGGAAGTTCCTTGGCTTTAAATTTGATAAGCGCACATACGCATTCCGTTCACTACCATTTGGCCTCGCGACAGCTCCATTCGTTTTCACGCAGCTCATCAAGCAACTAGCTCGGCGTTGGCGAGAACAAGGCATCCGAGTCGTACCTTACGTGGACGACATCTTATTTCTCTGCCAGTCGAAAGATGACGCGCAAGCAACTTGCCAGCGGGTGATATTGGATCTTAAAGAGGCAGGCCTTGTGATAAACGCGAAGAAATCACAACTGTCACCATCGCAGCGTCTCCGATTCCTGGGCGTAGAACTTGAGACCGATACCGGCCGATTCTCCATCGGTCCGGACCGACGAGCCTCACTACATGCAACCATCCGGAACCTCCTGAGCGCAAGCAAGGCATGCCGACCAGTCCCGGTCCGCCACGTGGCCAGAATCACTGGCATGCTCGCATCGATGGGTGTCGCACTTGGCGCGACAGCTCGCGCATTCAGCCATGCTATGTTACAAGTGATCGACGACGCACCGTCATGGAAAAGCAGCGTCGTTATCCCCCCATCTGCAGCAGAAGAGCTCCAATTTTGGCTCGAGGAGTTCGACCGTTTCAACGGCGCACCTTTTCACGTCAAGAACAGCTACGACGTGGTAATCCACGTGGATGCCAGCTCTCATGGTTGGGGCGCCACTCTGACCACATTTCCGGGTGGCATCGAAGAAGCTAGCGCAACCATGTCAGAGCCGCTACGAGGAACGTCCAGCACGCGACGGGAGATCGAAGGCGTCCTTTGGGCGCTACAAATGTACGCGAACAAGATCAAGCAAAAACACGTTCTCGTGCGGGTGGACAACCAGGGCGTATTCTTCATCCTTCGCAAAGGCGGCTCTCACAGCCCCGACCTCACAACGGTATGCAAGAGCATCATCCGAACATGCATGGCGCTTGGCACGCGCTTGATCATTGAATGGATTCCGCGCGAGCTCAACACACACGCCGACGAGCTTTAAAAAATGGTCGACCACGACGATTACGCGCTGAAAACGCCGTGGTTCCGGATCTTGGAACGTCGTTGGGGTCCTCACTCCATCGACCTTTTCGCAAACTCCCGCAACGCCCAACTGCCGCGCTTCTGTTCAAAGATTCCCCACCCGGCAGCCATTGCAGTTGATGCGTTCTCGATCGCGTGGACACCTGAAAACAACTTCGCCTTCCCCCCACCTCAACTGGTCCCAGCCGTCCTCCATTACGCACAACGCACCCATGCATCACTCACACTGATAGTTCCGCACTGGCCAGGCGCAAGCTGGTGGCCACTCTTGCAACCCTCCCCACGCACTTGGGCACCACACATCCACGCGCACATCCCTCTGACACACGGAAGCCAATGCCTAGACGTAGGGTCCCATTCAACTGCTTTTTCGGGCATGGGACTACCGCACAGCCCAATCATTGCACTGCGAGTGGCATTTGACTAATTCAAAATATATACACCTTGTGCTCAGATTTGCTCCCAAAGTTACACGACCAACTGATCAACATGCTCGCGCAGTCCCGCGCCGATTCTACGATCTGGACATATGAACCATACTGGGCCAAGTTTCGAGCCTTCTGCACAAAAGTGAACCTTCCATTCCTCCCGGCATCCGACATGACCCTCGCGCTATACCTGGTACACGCAATCCGACGCAAAGCCACCCTGTCCGTAGTGCAGCTAACCTGCTCGGCGGTCAGCTTCGCCCATCGCATGACTGGGAGCAAATGCCCGACAACCGGACCGTTCACCACCCAAGTCCGTGACTATGCAAAGCGACACTGCCCATGCCCTACTCGTCTGAAGGAACCCGTCTCGATCCAACAAGTCCACGAAATGGCCGCGAGCTACTTGCAGTCCGACGATCCTGCGCAATTTCAGAAAGGGTTGATACCCATCCTCATGTACTCCGGATTCCTGCGATACTCTGACCTAGTAGCCATAAAATGGCAAGACATCCAATTCGATGACGAGGTCATGTGGATTCTCATACCACACTCCAAGACCGATCAAGCTGGTCACGGCACTTGGATACCCATTGCAGCAACGCGGACCCCTACTGCCCAGTGCGCTGCACCCGACGCTTCATCCGACTCGCTGGCTATGGCCCACGGTCACAGGGACCATTGATTCGTGTCTTCGGTCACGGTTCAACCAGCGAGGGCCAGGCTAGGCCACCTTCATACACTACGATCCGGAACTGGTGCAAGGAAGCCTTCGCAAAGGTTGGCCTTGGAGAGCTGCAGCTAGGCACCCATTCTTTCCAAAAAGGTGCAGCCACAGTAGCAGCCAACACGGGAGTGCCAGACAGAGTCTTCAAACGGCTGGGCAGATGGCGAAGCGACACAGCAAAGGAAATGTATGTTACGCCATACGTCAAGCCTCTCATCGAAGCCTCCCGTACCCTACAAGATTCGACGCATGCGGTGTCATCGGCGCAACACACAGAGGCGCTCGTACGCAACCGGAGGCCCCCGCTGCCCATGTCTCAGAGACCCCATTTGTAATGAGAACGATGCCAATTGATAAGAAAGAAAGCAAGCTTTCTCAATATTATAATTTTTAAACACACATGTAGTGTTTTTTAAAATTGTGTATTGTGAAAGCGAAGCTGCTTGTACTGCACAATTGGCATCGTCGAAGCGCGCTAAACGCCCTTCTCCAACTACAAAAACCGTGGGTTGGAGCTCATTTCCCTCCACCCACGTTTCTCAATTTTCAAACGGCTCACTCAACATTCCCACCACCCACCCCAGTGTAAACCGCCTTGCTAATGCCACTTGGATAGGGTACATAATAGCTAGTGTTATCAGTCCGCACTAGCTTATGTCGAACCGGGAACTCTTAGGGCAGCAAAAAAAACAAAAACTAATAAAGAATCAGGATGCATTTTCAGGATGGATCAACCCTAAAATCGGGAACCTTCCTGATTTTTAAGGTTGATGCTTTTGGAGTCGCATCCGTTTCCGAATGGGTAATATTTTTGTTTTCTTGTGCATTTCCGATCGGGTATGTGGTATGTATCACATTGAATAAATTATGTTGTTACGTACTCACGATTTAACACGCCGAAATTTACTTCCAGAAGAATGCGACGCGCGCATTGCAATAGACGGCGGTCAAAACCCTAAATAAAATTAACACAAAACTTGGTTCTGTTTAGCAATTCTCTTTACTATACAGTTAGGCTTGTTCGCCTAGTCGTTTGTCAGCTCCGAGTTTAAATCCTACGTCGAGATTTATGGGCCCTACTTTGATCACCCCTCTAGAACTATTCGGCCCCAATATGATCTTTTCCTAAACAAGTTTTCCCGCGGAACCAGCGCCGATACATTCCCATGCTCAATTGGTTCTCGATAGCCTCGACAACCAAGCTTATCCTCACCTCCATACCCACAAGGCGTGTGGTGGCAGAAGGTTCGGAAAGCGGGATGAGGGGAAAGACGGCAGTACCAGCCAATGGCTGTCCACGCATCCATTCCGAGCCTGACCTTTCCCCCCAACCTCCCTCCAGCCACCAACTACATCCCGTGCGTCCTGCCCTGCGCTGTCACCAATAAAGAGCACGAGAGCACGCCGTGTGCTGCTGCTTTAGGGCGCGTAACCTTTTCACCTTCCATCGTCCGGACGGAGGCCCCATCCGGACTTTAGTAGGGTTACTGTTTTTGCCAGAATTCGTTTAGAAATTCGTAAGACCCCCTGCGACGTCGCTACGTACACGAGGATGTAGAACGGCGGCAGAGAGGTGTCGGTGCGCAGAAACAGCGAAGGGTCGGCAGTAGAAGGAGCAAACCCAAGAGCCGCTAGTGTAGTCCTCAGTTTGTCGTGCCACTCACGGGGCGCCAGGCGGAGACCGTATACTGGCCGCCGGAGGCTCCACTAGGTACCTGGAGGAAACGACCCAGTGAAGCCAGGTGGGCGGCGTAGCAAGATCTCCTCGTGCAGGCTGCAATGCAAGAAAGCTGTGCTGAATTCAAGAGAGTGAAGCTCATAGTCACGCTGAGCAGCTATGTGCAGTAGTACCCAAAGAGTGGTCATCTTCAGGGTGGGTGAGAAGGTCTGAAAGTAGTCAACTCCCTGCCGCTGACTGAAGCTACGAGCTACGTAACGCGCCTTGAAGACAGGCGGAGAACCCGGCGGCCGCTTCACCCTGAAAATCCACATGCCACTGACGATGTTCGCCCCAGGAGGGGGAACCTCGTCGACGTAGGTGCCTGTGGACTTCCAGGAAGCCATCTCTGCGTCCATGGCTGACTGCCACCGAGAGGAGTAGGGACCCTCGATCGCTACAGTGTACGATCGAGAAGTGGGGATGTCTGGTGCATCCGGGTCTCCCTCAGGGGCAACCAGTGTGGACACGAGATGAGGCAAAGCAGCAGCCAAACACTCTAACTCCTCCTCCCTATTCTCACGGACGTCCGTGCCAAGGGCACACTCACCCTCGACGAACGGAGGACAGACAGACTCAGACTCAGCAACAAGACTAGCAGCGTAGTCTAGACGACAGCGAGCAGCAAAGTCGACGAGCTTAGTGACCAAGGCAGACGCAGAAGCGGACTCTAAGGAAGGGCCAGTGACAACAGTAGCAAGGAGACGCGTGAAAGTAGGACTGGCAGCACGAAGGGAGTCCGACTCGGGGTCAGCAAGAACAGGAAGAGAGGACTCAGGAGGCAAAGGCAAAGGAGCACGCAGAGGAGCAGTGGACGGACGGAGGGACATCTAGTGCATGCCGGGGACAGGGGGGGGATGCTGACGCGAGCCACAACCACTAGCGCGAGCAGCACGGACAGGTGACGCAGGACGAGACGCAGGCTCACGACGCTCAGCAAGACCTCCAGTAGGACCAGTGTAGGGAGAAGGAGCAGGAAGCGAGGAGGCCGACTGTAACTGTAACTGCGACGGAACAGGCCGTGGACACTCTAAGGGAGGAGAAGGACGAGTGGAAGGTGGGAGACCAAGAACCTGCTCAAGGAGCGGAACGAAGTACGGCTGAGGCCACGCAGCGACTCCAGAAACAGCAGGGACAGCACCAGCACCCCCAGTGGTAGCACCAGCGCCAACAGCACCTCCAGCTCCAGTACCCCCAGCGGCTCTAGCAGCTCCAAGGCCTCCAGCAGCACCAACAGCACCACCAACAGGACCACCTCCAGAAACACCAGCAGATGCCTCATAGCCAACACCCTCAGTAGCTCCATCTCCAGCCGGACCACGAGGAGACGCAGTAGCCCCAGCTCCAGCAGTACCCGCAGGCCCAGCAGCTCCAGTACTCCCTGTACGAGCACCTCCGGGACCCGTGGTACCAGTACACTCAGCAGCAGGAGAACCCCCAGCTCCAGCAGCACGCCTCCAGCGCCAGGCAAACCACACACGCAGCTCCAGTAGAGAGAGGAGCTCCCGCCGAGACGAAGCACCCGGAGAACCTCCAGGCCCAGTACCGCCAGACGTCATACGAGCAGGCCCAGCACCATCAGGCTCCGCACCCCCAGGCTCAGCACCCCCAGGCGTAGCACCCCCAGGCTCACCACCCCCAGTCGTAGTACGCCCAGGCTCAGCACCCCCAGTCGTAGCACCCCAAGGCTCAGCACCCCCATTCGTAGCACCCCCAGGCTCAGAACCCCCAGCGTCAGCACCCCCAGGCACAGTACCCCCAGCAGTACCAGAGTCAGCAGCTACCTCAGCAGGCTCAACTGCATCTACCTGGGACATACCTGAGGGGGCAGGACCCTGAGGGTGAAGGGGGTCTACCTGGGGGGACTTGGCACAAGGAAGAGCGGAGGCGGGGGGAGGGATGGAGTGCGGTAGGGGAACAGACGGTAGTGGGGAACTGGCTCGTCAAACGTGGCGTCCTGGGAGGACAGAACACGGCGCGAGGTGGGGTGGTAGAACTGCCACCCCGGCGCGTCAGGGGGGAAGCCAAGGAAGACGCAGGGAGCAGCACGAGGGGACAGCTTGTCCGCAGACAAGTCGCGGACAAACGCCCGAGATTCCCAGACACGGAACGCAGACGCATCGCCAACCTTCCTCGTCCACAGTAAAGTTGGGGAGGTCTCCGGCCTGGAGACCTTAGGCTGAAGGTTGATCTGCTGCGCCGCGTACCGAACCGCAAACGGCCACAGAAAATGGGGGGCAGCCGCATGCACCATGGACGTACAGACAACGTCCATGACCATGCCAATGCGGCGCTCAGCAATCCCATTCTGCTGTGGAGAGTCCGGAAGCGTAAAGGACTGGCGAATGCCTCGTGCATGACAGTAGGCTCGAAGGAGGCCAGAGGAGAACTCTTCGCCTCTGTCGTTGTGCAGACGCAGAACATTAAAGTCCGAGCCGAAACTCTTCCTGAGCTGGAGACGAGCTGCGCGGATCCTGTCGGTCAACACCTCAGTGACATCACCCTTGCTGCGCAAGGGGAAGAATGTGGTGTAACGCGAGTAGTCGTCAACCACCAGCAGGAAGTAGCGCTCGTGACCCTGTCCACGGACGCGGGGCGGGCCCCACACGTCCATGTGAAGAGTCTGCAGCGGAGCCTCTGTCGGAGGAAATGAGAGGAGTGAGGAGCGGCGCGCTGCCGCCCCTCGACGCAAGGAACGCAGGTAGGGGCTGGCCCCGAAGGAAGGGGAGGGAGGGTCCGGGGTAGACCAGAGACAAGGTAATGGGAGGCCATGCCTCGGAGACGAGGTAAGGAGGGGTGACCAAGGGACAGGAGACAACAGGAGCAGGGAGCAGACTCAGGACCAGACCTGGACGCCGCAACAAACACCTGACCCGACGCAGCAACCCGACCAAACGCAGCAACCGGAGGAGAGTCAGTGGTCAGTGTGTACAGGCTCGACCCCGGCCGACGGGTAAACGTCGCCAAGTTTTGACCCGACCGAGCGTCCGTGCAGTGGGTCACTCGCTGTCTCACACGAGTGAACTGGTAAACCCCCGCATCCTATAGGTCAGCACCACTCACCAAGTTTGTAGAGAACGAGGGGAGGTAAAGACCAGACAGGGTGCCAAAGGGGCCCGCCGGACACGGTAGGACAGGACCCCCAGAGGGGTCTGCGAGAGCAACTGCAACCGGCCGACTAAGCGGCGTGAGTGTGGTGCGGTCGCGAAAGAAGGAGCGGGAAGCCCCCGAGTCAAGAGTGAAGGTGTGGGAGGCCGGAGCCGACGCGGTACCTGAGAGAGCAGACTCACCAGCACCTGAGGAAGCAGGCTCACCAGCACCTAGAGCAGCGACCTCACCAGCACCTAGAGCAGCAGCCTCACCAGCACCTATAGCAGCAGTCCCAATGCCCGGGTCGGGCTGAAAACACCGGTAACAGTCACCCTCATCACTAATAGTCACAGCATACATGGCAGCAAGGATAGCATCATAATCAAGATCAAAGATAGGAACCCCAGCCCGAGGGATCTGAGTGGCCTAAGGGAACTGGTGACGCCAAGCGTCCATCAGGCGGCCAAAGCAGTGCTGGGTGGAGTGCGCACCCCCACACGGCTCACCCGCGCGGTCGCTAGTGCGGAGGACGTAGGTGCACGGACCAGTACCCCCACCCCGCTGGCATGCAGCGTACCACTCACAAAGCTGCTGAGGGGGAGGGATCTCACGAGTGCGCTGCTGCTGTTGCTGCTGGCGCGGACCACCACTAGAGCCGACCCTCTGCACAGCGCCACCCCGACCAGCTCCACCTCCTCCGCCGCTACCTCCTCCACCGCCGCCACCTCCTCCACCGCCGCCACCTCCGCCACCTCCGCTCCCACTGCCACCGCCGCCGCCGCCTCCGCCTCCACTGCCGCCACTGACACCCCCACCCCCGCCACCACCCCCACCGCCACCCCCACCCCCTCCACCGCCTCCACCGCCGCCTCCACCGCCCCCGCTAGCTCCTCCAACGCCCCTGCCCCCCTTGCCCTTGCCAGTGCGGCGTCTCCCGCTAGGGGCAGACGCCGCACCGACCGACTCAAGACCAACGAGGTCGGCTGCAGCAGCAGAGGCAACAGAGGGCAAGAGGGGAGTGGGGGAGCACCCCTCAAAGACAGCGGCAGAGGGGTCACCTCGAGAGGCTCCTACAGCGTTGATCCTCTTCTCTACAGGCCCGGGGGCGGCTGTTGCTGCTGATCGGGCGGCGGCAGCTACTGCAGGCCCGGGGGTGGCAGCCGATGCAGGTCCGGCAGCAGCGGCTGGTGCTGCCTGGGTGGCGGCTGCTGCAGGTCGGGCGGCGGCAGGTGCTGCAGGTGCGGCAGTGGCAGCTGCTGCAGGCTCGGTGGCGGCAGCTGCTGCAGAGCCAGCGACGGCACCCGCTGCAGGTGAGGGGGAGGGCCGCAACAGAGGCGGCAGGGGTGGCAAGGGGCCGTGAGAAGGCCGCGCGGGGCCACGAAATGGGGCCGTGTAGGGCCGCGAAGGGCCGCGACGGGCTGGGAGGGGGCCACAAGGGGCCGCGAAGGGGCCGCGTCTGGCCGCTAGGGGGGGCCGCGACGAGTCGCGATAGGGAGCCGCGAGAGGGAGGGCCGCGAGGGGCCGTTTAAGGGGCCGCGAAGGGGCGGGATAAAGCCACTAGGGGGGCGAAATTTTATGGGCAGGGTGCAAGGGCGCTTCGGGCAGCTAAAAAAAAGTTGTTGTTGTGGTGGGCCCTAAAAAAATGGTCCTTAGGAAGGACCCGCTCTATACCATGTTGAAAGAAAGATGATGCACTAAGGAAAATGTCGAGGGTACAAAAGGAACCCTAGGAGAAATCAAACCCCTTAGAGTCAACCCCACTAAAGCCTAAGTAGAGAACTATATAATAAAAATTTGACAAAAGTATGCCAATGGTAACATACATTGGGCTCTTTAACACGTACAGTAACTATTACAGTACATTTTCACGCGTTTGGTAACTCGTCTCACGCAATTGGTAACTTAGCACAGGCGAATGATCACGCGAATGGTAACTAGATGAAACTCCCGCCGAAATGATCATGACTAAAAGGAATTTGTTAAAGTGAAAATTTTCACGGACTGTTTTATCAATCTTGAATTATTCTCGCCGTGACTTTGAAGGATCGCATTTGTTCAATTACCACGGACCAAATAGTTTCAGAGCCGTTTCATATCTATGTTAGGCTCGGAAATATATATTTTTTGGCAAGCATGATTGCATAATTGGAAAATGAGGAAATTTTCCCGGAAAATGGACAATATTTTAATTTAAAAAACGTGCAATAAATGCAACGCGGGATAATTTTGGAGGTGGGAAAATAATACCCTTCCGAATGGCATGCCATTATTGTAGAAATAACTTTGAATGCCTTGTCGCAAGAAGTTTAGGGTTGATGCTCTCAAAATCATTTGCCATTCGAAAGGGGTATATATCTTTTGCCCTGGTTGTACGATAGAATTAAGTAAAATCAATTTTCCGAGAGCGCCAGAATATCAGCATTATATGAGAAACGGTTTTCAAAACAGCAACTTTTCACAAAATAGTCCGAATTTCGGATAGTGTGTCAGAATTTCGGAAAGTGTGTCAGAATTTCGTGCTTCAGGACTCGTCAATTCTGTTTGGCGCGAGCGGGAAAAACCAGAATCTGGGTCAAGTTGGACGAGGGTTTCTTCTAGTTACCATTCGCGTGATGGCTTGCCAGTGTATAGTTACCAAACGCGTGAATTGAGTTACCAAACGCGTGAAAAATCATTGTTACGGTTAACGTACGTGTTATAAAGCCCCATGTATGTTACCATTCGCATATTTTACCAAAAAGTTGCACCTCAATTGGTTCTCAATAGCCTCGACAACCAAGCTTATCATCACCTCCATACCCACAAGGCGTGTGGTGGCAGAAGGTTCGGAAAGCGGGATGAGGGGAAAGACGGTAGTACCAGCCAATGGCTGTCCACTCATCCGTTCCGAGCCCGACCTTTCCCCCCAACCTCCCTCCAGCCACCAACTACATCCCGTGCGTCCTGCCCTGCGCTGTCACCAACAAAGAATAGGAGAGCACGCCATGCGCTGCTGCTTTATACACACCCCCCCCCCCCTTCCTCCGCCGCTGCCAGTGTCTTCCGCACCGTCTCAACGTTCATCGGAAAAACAGCAAGGGTGGAGGGGTAGCCTTTTGTTCAGGTGCTTCGAAGCTGCTAGACTAAAAGTTACGCCACACCTACTTTGCAGCTGCTTTGACCGAGGGCACTTCGGGAATCAACGGACTGAGCATTGCGTCAGATGGGTTGGAGCTTGCGTGGACGAGTTTCATTGGTGTTTACGAGACACCTACGAGACACCTGCTGTTTACAAAATTGTCAGATTCGTCTGCGACTCCTTTGTCACGATCGCCAATGTCGCACGATGAAGTGACGCTCAACTTTTCGAATCCTCAATATGGACACTGTAAAAGTCGCCACTGTTACCTGCTTTTAAAGTTGTAAATAAACCGCATGGTCTGTAAGATGATTGACTTTTACTATGTGAACGTTTTCTATTTCTGGCAATCTCTTACAAAATCAATAAAGCTAACTATGCAGGCTAGTGTTCTGCTGGATTGATTGGATGTTGCCCTGCAAGTAAGACACCGTAGAAAATCATTTGCAACGAATCATTGAAATCAATATGCAAAACGGTTCGGAAGCTTCGCTATGGGCCGTGTGAAAGATGTGATGATATGCTCCGCCCACTTGATCTCTTTATGATAAATGAATTTGTGGGTAGTCGCACGTTGACCTGTACCCAACATCAAATAGTATGTCGCGATGTCCTCCACACGCTCAAGCATTCGTACGAACGCCAATGGCACTTTGCAATTCACTCCGTCCACTCCCTTGTTCGTCACATGAAACAGCACAAGGATCTGTGCATCCACCACAGCCTCTGCACCTGCATTTGTTGTTGTGTCGGCAGGGTCGGAGTTCAGAGAAACATGTGAGTGTGTGTGAGCTGGCATGTGGGTGTGTGAGGGCTGGGCTGGCATGTGGGTGTGTGTGAGCTGGCATATGGGTGCATGTGGGTTGGCATGTGGGTGTGTGTGGGCTGGCATGTGGGTGTGGGTGGGATAGCATGTGGGTGCAAGTGGGCTGACATGTCGTAGTGAGTGGCATGTCACGGGGTTTGATGGGGCTGGCATGTGGGTGCAGGTGGGAGGGCATGTTGGTTTGTATGATGGCATGCGGGTGTGTGTGGGCTGCAATGTGGGTGTGTGTGGGCTGGCATGTGGGTGTGTGTATGTTAGCATGTCGGTTGTGTGAGCTGGCATGTGGGTGTGTGTGGGATAGCATGTGGGTGCGAGAGGGCTGACATGTGGTTGTGAGTGGCATGTCATGGGGTTTGAGTGGGCTGGCACGTGGGTGCAGGTGGGATGGCGTGTTGGTGTGCGCCTCTTGGCATGTGGGTGCGTGTGGGTTGGCATGTGGGTGTGTGTGGGCTGGCATGTGGGTGTGGGTGGGATAGCATGTGTGTGCAAGTGGGCTGACATGTGGTAGTGAGTGGCATGTCACGGGATTTGATGGGGCTGGCATGTAAGTGCAGGTGGGATGGCGTGTTGGTGTGTGTTGGATGGCATGTGGGTGTGTGTGGGCTGGCATGTGGGTGTGTGTGAGTTGGCATGTGGGTGTGTGTGAGCTGGCATGTGGGTTTAGGAGGGTTGGCACGTGGGTGTGGGTGGGATAGCATGTGTGTGCGAGAGGGCTGACATGTGGTTATGAGTGGCATTTCACAGGTTTTGAGTGGGCTGGCATGTGGGTGCAGGTGGGATGGCGTGTTGGTGTGTGTCTCTTGGCATGTGGAACTGTGTGGGCTGGCACGTGGGCGTCATGTTCTTTTGTGATTGATAGTTGTAGAAGATCTACATTTTTAAGCGATATGTTTACACACACTATCATGAATTCCATCCATTACTTCTCCAAGAATTATGTTACCTACTTAGGCTCCAGGAAAAAGGACATATAGGTTGTTGGCACTACTGGTAACTATATCTGCCCCGTGTTTGCGGGAAATCACTGCATTACTTAAGAATATGCAAAACGGTTGAGGAGCTTCAGCGTGGGTCGCGTGAAGGACGTTATGATATGCTCCGCCCGACTGATCTCTGCAAGATGAATTATTTTGTACGTAGCAGCGCGGCGACCTGTACCCACCTTCAACGAGCACGTCTCAGTGTCCTCCCCACGCTCCTCGAGCATACGCACAAAATCCAGTGGTATTTAGTTTTTGGCGCCGCCTTCGCCACTGATCACCACGTGAAATAACAGAAGAATTTGTACACAGACAACAGCTGCTGAAGGTGTTGATCCGTCCGCAGTATCAGACTTCAATGAAACACATGAGAACCAAGCGGCGCCATGGAACTTTGGGGTAGCGCGTGCGTAATGGCTCTGGAACCCACCTTTCCCTGGTAGCGCCACGGCGGAATGGACCTGCAGTGTAAACAATTTGGTTATGAAACGGGAAGGCTCAATGAATTCAGCTACAGTACAATAGCCGTTTGGAAATGGGCGACATAACGTTCACGCCATGCAGTACACTTTCTTACATGAATGGTACTTGGGTGACAACCTGCAGCCCCAAGTGCGGCGGCAAATAGGTCCATGCAGGAGCCGTGGTGGTCTACATAGCTCTTCCAGATGCTGTCCCCACGCCTATTCTCAAGAATGTGTGGCATTGAAACAGGGGTTGACGTCGTTGTCAGAACAGCATAGCAAACCGCATCCGCCTGCCAGAAATAGGGTGAGTGCAGACAAGTTATGTAACGTGGGAGGGTGTGGGCTGTCATGTGGGTGTGGGTGGGATGACATGTGGGTGTGCGAGGGATGAGATGTGGGTGTGGGTGGGCTGGAATGTGGGTGTGCGAGGGATGAGATGTGGGTGTGGGTGGGCTGGAATGTGGGTGTGCGAGGGATGAGATGTGGGCGTGGGTGGGCTGGAATGTGGGTGTGCGAGGGATGAGATGTGGGCGTGGGTGGGCTGGAATGTGGGTGTGCGAGGGATGAGATGTGGGTGTGGGTGGGCTGGAATGTGGGTGTGCGAGGGATGAGATGTGGGTGTGGGTGGGCTGGAATGTGGGTGTGCGAGGGATGAGATGTGGGTGTGGGTGGGCTGGAATGTGGGTGTGTGAGGGATGAGATGTGGGTGTGGGTGGGCTGGAATGTGGGTGTGTGAGGGATGAGATGTGGGTGTGGGTGGGCTGGAATGTGGGTGTGTGAGGGATGAGATGTGGGTGTGGGTGGGCTGGAATGTGGGTGTGTGAGGGATGAGATGTGGGTGTGGGTGGGCTGGAATGTGGGTGTGTGAGGGATGAGATGTGGGTGTGGGTGGGCTGGAATGTGGGTGTGTGAGGGATGAGATGTGGGTGTGGGTGGGCTGGAATGTGGGTGTGTGAGGGATGAGATGTG